TCATCAAACCACGTCGTTACGTCTACCATGAGTCTCTCAATGAACAATGAACAGTTAATTTAAGATTCTTGGAAGTTAGGAAGGACAGTTCAGTTATGATAGGAACATGGACTTAGGAACTATTCATCTGTAATGGCTTTTTTCCTATATCAGGTAACACTAATCACCATGGTTTTCTAAACAGTTAGGACCTGCAAATTAGGAAATGTCTTTGATACGACCCCTGGTTCTTTCTTGGTACCAACAAAAGTGTGTATGTAGTATTGAGTATTGACGCAACAGGTATTGAAAGTTGTTATTGAATGCCTGAGTCTAAGGCCCTTGTTTTAACTATGCACGTGCAACAAGTGCAGAGTGTGAGGTTCTTGTGGGGTCGTCTCCAAGCGCATCTGATGTTTTGGTTCACGTAGGCACGGCAACACAAAGTGTAAAAGGTTTGTCTGAGGTGGAATTTAAATCAGATGATGTTATGATTCATTCTTAAGCAGTCACATCACTGGTCTCTTCGCTCTGTAACAGCTGTGCCAGTCACTGTGACAACAACAGCTCAACAAATGAAGGAGGGTTCTCCAGTTAATTATTTTGCTGTCTGGATGGTGCAGAGCAGCACGACCTGACAACAATACAATGATGATAGAAATGATTAATGAAAAAAAAGGAACTGTGAGAATGCTTCATACCCATTTATAGATAAATTGAAACTGATTTACTGGCGTTCCTGCTTTAAAGACAATAAACATTCAATTTCTTTGCCAGTTTAAAGTCTTATTGGATCTGGAGAGTTTAGTTACAATGGTTCATTTACATTTTAAACGTTATCCCTTCATTTGTGCATTTGTTCTGTGAGTTCAGTGTGCTTGAGTTGATAAAATCACCAAAGTGGCAGCAGATTATTGTTGCCAGAAACAGGCGTAGTTCTGTCTGTTCTGAATCTAAGACACATTTCCCACCAAAATAGCAAAACCTCGCTTTGCGCTGCCTCATTTGAATGAACTTCCCTCCTGTTTGCACTTCTCACCTGTACACTATGTGCTCTGTGCTTGGCACCAAAATACCACAGAGTCAGACAAAGCAAATTTCAAGGTCAGGAAAATATCAAACTGGTTGTTCCACTGCCACGAAAATAGGGGCCTTCATCTTTTTGACTAAAACTGTCTAGGATATCAGGTCTAAACATACTGGAATCAGTCTCTAACATAACCACCTTGTGTTATTTCAAATAAAATTGTAAAAATTTCCCCCAGGTTGCTAAAACCCCAAATTCAGGTATCTAAAAGTATAGTTGTAGCTTCACCCAAGCTACCAACAGACACCATTTAATACAAGACTAGGTCTTGACTTCCTAGTAGTAATACCAGTCTAAACCTTGCTTGACGTGCACAGGGCAGCTGCTCAGACAACAACCATGGAGACCATCTATTGTGGGTCCAACCCACTATAGGGTAGAGTGGGGTGAGTTGAGGCAGTTTTTACTTGAAACGTCTTTAAAGTGAGGGCATGACAGTTAAGTCCCTAACTAAAATATGTACATATATTTCGGGATGTGCTGCATCCCTGGGAATAATCACTGATCTAAAATAAGCAGGTCTCAAAATATGACATACCAAAAAAAAGTGGCCTCTCCCCACGAGAGTAGTCACAATTGAGCCACATGCGAGTAAATTGTACAACTGACTATGTTGAAGTAAAATGTAAATCTGTTTCCTGTCAAATGTGCACTGACAGACACACGAATGCCTGTCTTCAAGGGGCTATCTGTTAGTTTTCTCTGCTGCTGAACTTGGTTTTTTGCAGGGAGCAGGTGGTAGTGATTGATAAGAGCTTCAGCCATCAATGTGTTTACAAGACAAGAGGTTATAATATGTCCTCTGAGCAGCTACTCCTTCACAATAGATTGGAGGCTACAATGAGTCGCATCAGAAATTTACGAGGCCGGCCGGGGCTAGCTGGTTACCATGCTATCTTCAGTAGAAGAAGAGACACTATAGAGACTGACTTAACATTGGCATTACTTT